CACACACACTTACACTTCCATGCAGTATACTCCACTCATGTCAGGATACCAATTGGGAGCATAGTTTGTCTCGCCATCCATTGGGGGAAGATCGCAGTCACCTCTTGTATTAAAAGCATGCACTACACTTACGGACTAATGACGTTAGTAGTTGACACACACTGAATCATCAAACAATCTCTATCAACGTCCGATGTGACGTCAGTTCTGGAGGAGTCGAGCTGCTGTGGGCCGAACCGGCACTGGAACCTGATCCGTTGGATTTGCCTTGATTGAACATGGCGACACCTTCGGGTTAGACTCTAGGCTTCCACGATCTTTCTCACGCACGTTTTTGTTAACTTGTCGTAAGTAGGCCATGAGAATATCATATTTCCGTTGCCTCCAAACCATATCGAGCGCGTGTGAAGACATTACTTAAACAACCTTTTCTTGTAGCTTACAAAGGCAGAGCGTACTTATAACTAGTCAACGAAAATTTGAACATTACTTGGAAGGTACATAATGTATTGTATAATAACACTTGTTTATCATATTTTGTTAGTTTTAATTTGTCTTCAATAAATGTATCACGTAATATAGATTTTTAGGTCAAACGTTCGTCTTTCGAATATTTTGAGCCAACAAACTTCTGAAGTCCGGATAAATAGAATTACTTCGATAACCAGACCGCTACAGATCCTTAACGTTATTCCTCTTCCCGTTGGCGTTTATTATGAAGCGGGTGTCCCCCGCCTATCCCAATCCCGATCGTAGGCATTTTTGGAGCGGCCTTTTGGCCTCATTCACAACGCAAACATAACGTACTCGCAAAACCTAGAAATGACTTATTAAGCGAGACCGTTCAGAATGCCTTAACGTACAACCGTAGACGTAAAGCCGTAATCTTAAAGGCCCGTTCACAATACAAACGTAAAACGTAAACATAACGCACAGACGTAAACATTAACGTAAGCAAAATAAGAGTTTCTATTAGCTGTGAGACATTCTAGTTTACTATTGGTTGGATGGACAATAGATTTCGAGGTATCCAGGGGCTATACGGTGTTAGGTTCGTCTATCGACTTAGCTCCTATTTTGATTCTCCATTTTGAGTTAACGTACAATGATTTGTTCATATCTTATGTATTACTTAAGTTTAAGCACAGACGCTTGCAAAGCGTCTTACGTATTATGCTTATGCGAACGCATTATGAATAAGTCCGCTTGTGGACGTAGTCCTAACTTTTATGTTATCGCCATTCTTGTGTTTATGTTTGCATTGTGAATAGGCCTGAAGAGTTCACAAGCACTAAGCTTTTACGTTAAGTTTACCGTCGGAATTCTACCGACGACCAATCAGAAAGCAGCGTAAAAGAAATAAACATGGATTGTGTTAAGGTAGTATGGGGTTATGTCATTTCATTACTGTTATGTACTGTAACAGTAATGCAAGCATTGCGTAGTTTGCAAATGGTTGTCATACGAGTGGTGAATTCAAAGACAGAATTTGGGCCATTTTTCTTGTGACTTTAATTTGACCTGACGAATAAAGTAATTACGTTCGACGAATTACTCTTGAATTTATTACAATAGAATCCTTACTTATAAAGCAAAGGAAATGCGACCACTAATACAACAGCTGCTCGCATTTATTTATAAAGACAAATCTGAAGAAAAATCGAAGAAAAGGCTAGAAACCGTGGTGAAAAAATTTTTCCATCCTGCTGGAAACGAGCACTAATAAATACATCATCTACTAGCATTTCTATATTAAGATAAATCTATAGGAAAATCGAGAAAAGGCTAGAAACCAGGGTGAAAAAATCTTTCCATCCTGTTAGAAACGAATCGACAATCAAGCTTCAATACGTTGGAATCTGATTGGCTCAGGCAAAACGTAAAACGCAAAACGTACGTTCTAGCTTACGCTCGTAATTGCGACTGCTTCTTTTTACTTGTAAATTGTACCGCTAAGTTGACAGCATTGCGTTACGTGTAAGTCCGCATTGTGAATGAGGCCTTAGGGCCTGCGCCGCGTTCCAGGGTTGCACTGCGCCGCGCCGCTGCACCGGGTGACGCAAGCGAACGGGTGGCGCGGCGTCCGTTGGCGCGAATGAAGTGACTGCGTCCTCACGACCTCTCCTCCGTGCTGCACCCACCAGCCACCCCCTTCCCGCACCTCCCTCGAACCCCTCCGGCCTCCGGCAGGGTTTGCGACACTAGCTTGTCAAGCTTGAAACGACACATAGACATCGAAATAATACAAGTTAAAAAACAAACTGCATCAATTAAAAACTCTAATTAATAGGAATAATTACCATCCATATAAAAGCAATAATATTATACAAAACGATAATAAGACCGACTCTTCTCTACGACTGCCCAGTAGGGATCAATGCTGCAAATACAAATATCAACAAAACTCAAAAAGTACAGAACCAATTCCTCCACACAACCACTAATGCATCCTGGTTCATTTCGAATCACCAATTAGCCAATGAATTCAACCTCGATCTCATCATTTACCACATCACCTACCCACTACACGATCTTTTACAAGCATTACATAACTAATACGGGACAACCGGCTTTACTTCCCCTCCCAAGGAAGGCAAACGAAGGATTTTTCTGCCCTTAATAATCCACAGCTTCTATAGGTTCATTGATTGTTTAGTGATTCCGGGACAGGGTCATTAGTCCCATAAGTGTAATGTATGTTTTTTGCTCGGGAGGTGGTGATGATCATTTACCCGCTGTATGGCGAGATCTTGCGCAGACCTACCGTTAGCTACCGGGGTTACCCCCAACCAGGTATCTCCCACAACTCGGGTATAACA